TGATTGTGTGTAATATTCTAATTTTCTGAGATGGTGGGTTTGGGGTTTTCATGAGCTGTACGCCATAATCATTACAATTATAACAAATCACAGCTTGAACTATCTTGCTTTGCATGTAATGAGTCTTATCTCATATATTAGTTTCACCTTTTTAGTTGCATTACTGAAATAAATGATCGTTTGGACGATATTCTAATTTTTTGAGTTTCACCTGTAGGCACAGATGGGGGAGGGAGGCAGCCATATGGGGGAGTGTGTAAGCCATAAGTGTGAGCAGGTTTCCAAGCATCCAAATTTTGATCATATGTCTGCAGGGGACCATAACCTGCATAAACTGCAACAGCCATAACCTGAAGCATAGGTCATAAGTCCTTTTGTTCAGCGCTGCAATTTCAAATAATCGCTGAACAAATGATTGTAAATTAAGGACTATGTTCACTGATTTTAAAAGAACCGTTCACCTCAGTTAACTATGCCATCTTTTTGAAACACATTGCTACAGAAGAGTTTGAAGGTACTATTTTATGGCATTTATTTTCTTATTCAGACAGGATTTTTCAGAAATCGTGGTAATAAACTCCTGTTTTACTCTTGGCTGTTTGTCTGTAATATATTTAATAAATCACAGGTTTAGATTTAACACATAGTAGAAATCACTGAGGAAAATGTATATGTAATATGATGGAGCATTGAATTCTCTCGAATATTTGACTGTTCTTTCTCTTTTATTGACAGTCCGTGGTAGATGACTGGATTGAATTGTATAAGCAAGACAGGGATATAGCACTGCTGGATTTAATCAACTTCTTCATCCACTGTTCAGGATGCCGAGGTAAAAGGCATAAAAGTATTATAAAACTACTCTGGTTCTATGTATTCTTTACATGTATAATGTAAATTAGTAAACTTTTTACGATTTAAAAATGACTGCTTCAAATGTCTAAAAATTATATGTGCAATAAAATAAATAAAATTATAGTATCTGAAGAACATTAGGAAAAGAAACACTTCTGTGATTTCATCCCTACTTTCTAAAATGGAAAAACTTTTTTTTAAAGTAACATACTATTATTGTTTCAGGAATTATGAACTAGTAATTTCTAATATAACATCCAACATATTCTTTCACATTCTATTCTGGAACCATATTATTTATCCTAATGTGAAGGATACATTTGTTAGAACTAAAATTAGGGCACTTTTTAACTGTAAGAAAAGATCACTGTGCTGCTGTAGCTTTGAAATGCAGATAATCTTTGTTAAAATATGTTGTAGCATTTGACTCTAAATAATGAACTAGGATTAATCTAAATATGTTAATTAATATTCAGCATTTGAAATGATAATTATCAAAAGTTCTTCCGTTAATTCTGGAGATAGAATTTTCTAAACAAAGTATGTATAAACATGGCAAGATCAAAATAAGACCAGATATAGAAAATCTGTTGGATTTTTTTTTACAAATTTCCTCATAAATTCATCTTAACCTCTTTACAGTGCCTTTGCCATTTCTGCTTTGTCATTTAAATGTGATCCTTAGTCTTTTCTGTTAGAAACAAATGAATGTAATTTTAGTTTCGTGGTCCCTTGCTTCACTTTCCCTTATTTCTGATCTGTCTTGCTTCCTATAGTATCTAACAACTGTCATAATGTTACCTAATATAATATACAACAAAAGTCATTTCACTGAAGTAAATTAGCCTCACAAGCAGCTCATTAAACTTACTCAGAAATAATATTAATATTAATTAATTAATATTGTCTCTGGAGATGAAGTTGCAAAGAATACAGCCTTTTGTCACAATTATAAAGATATACATCTCAGTCTGTGTTCCAAGCAAGTTTGTTGAGAATAACCTTTTATCCAAATGCAAATCTAAGTGCAAGAAAATAACTTTGAAAGTTTCATCTACCAGTTCCAATCTAATATATAGGAGAATATTGAAACTAAATAAATCTAATTTTTGAATATATAACAAGCACACACACAAACACCCCCCAAAAACCTAGTTATCGTATATTCAGTAACTTTTATCTGTACAAGAGAATTGAGGATTCTCCTCTCTGGCTTAGCTAGTGGTTTTGGTATGGTTCTTAAATAAATCAGAAACAAGCCAATAAACAACAACTCCTTCTACTACTCCTTTTGCCATTTGTGTATCCATTGCATTCAGTGAATTTGTGATATCTATGATTTCAATTATAATATACTACCTTAAAATAAACTATGATTTACTCATTTACCCTACGTGTGTATTGAGCCACAAAGTTAGTTATGTACAAAAAAATCTAAAATATTTCTGAATTAGGAAAATGGGAGAAGATTCCAAAAGCAAGAATTAAAAGATTATTGATGCCTCAGCAGTTAATATGCTGGGCTTTCAGTTAGTAGGCTGGAAAGCCAACAGCAAAGTCGCATTTGAGACCTGAGTGCCTTACGAAAAGATGAGCTCCCATTACTTGCCCCAGCTCTTGCCAAATAGCAGTTCAAAAGCATGCAAATGAAGTAGATAAATAGGTACTGCTTCAGCAGGAAGGTTGCGGTGATCTGTATTTTAAGGCTGGCCCATGATGACGAAAGGGTCTCTCAGACACTCAGCTACTGGAATGTATAAAAGTGTCTCTCAGACACTTTGGCTGAGAATCAGAAATAAGCAGCACTCCCTAGAGTCAGTCACGACTAGACTTTATAGGCAATATTTGGAAACTTATTTCTGCCAAAGATATGTGTAAAAGACTGACAGAAAGTTTATCTAAAAATTTTTACCTATCATGTTACTATTTTCCTTTTTTGAATGCAGAAAACTAATATACAGTATATTCCAATTGGCAGAAAAATGTCAAGCTTCACTTTTACTATGTAGAGATTGTATCTGTAATAATTGAAAAAGAAATGGGCCTGGGGAAGGGAAGAGTTGGGAAACCATAATGCAAATAGAATATTTTTTTTAAAAAAAAATCACATAAAATGTTATTTTAAAAGCTTACTTGCCACTTTTATGCAACCCTTGCCTCCGGTTGCTCCTACTAAATGTCAGGTTGGTTTGTAATTAGGCTCCCCTCATCTGTGATTTGATTGTGGACGAAGGCTGACCTAGCAGGTGTTACCAAGACCTGGCTGAGTTCTGAAAGCAGGGGTTGCCCCCTTCCAAAATCTGCCCAGCTAAGTTTCAACCAGATTCCAGGGCAGGAGTCAGGGTATGTTGTTTGTTATTAAGGAAATTGTTAAGGCTCTGCAGGACCCCAGTTGTGAGATCCTGTTTCTTAAGTTGGGCTGTAGTGTCAGTGATCAGTAGAGATTGTTGCTCTTATACCAAACTCCATGTTGCATAGCAATCTCCCTGTCTGAAT